TAAAATTTGAAACTTTTAAAAACAATTATTTTTGCCAAGAATACCGTGTAGAAGACAGCTTTATAGATTAGCTATAAAGTGCAAAGCAGAATATTTGTTAAACTGTCTCTCGTCTGCTGCCTTTTAATTTAATTTTATGTCTCTGTTATTGCATGGTAATGAAAGGTAAACAGGAGAGCTTCGATAGTTTGTTCTATGCCCACTCATAATATAATAAAATCTTAACTAGATGTCCTTTCGACCTGTTTTCCAAAATATATGAAACTCACATGTCTGTATTCATTTTCCCTCTTTTGACACTGTACTTTCCCCTTGACTCCTTCTATCTGTAGTTTTATCTTCGCTCTGAACCCCTTTTCATCTTTGCTTGTCTCTCCCCACTATCACTCTATCTGTTAACTGTCTATTGTAGAATTAATCAGTTCAGCTAATCAAAATGCTGACATTAACATAAAGTTCAGTTAATTGTGTCTCCTTTGTTTTTAGGAAGAAATAACCAGTTTGAAACAAAACACACACACAAAAAAAGCTGTAAGACACAATTGGTAACACATTTATTGGCAATTATAACCTGATTTGGCTGGTATCAGGGAAAGCACAATGATTTCTAGAAACTCGCTGCCTGAGCTTCTCTCTTGCAATTAGAAATAGGAATGACAAAAGTGATAAAGTCAGCTTAGTGCAGTTAGAGTGAAGCTTGAACCAGAGAATCCTGGTGTAGATTTTGCCATGACTTTATGCTAACACTATAGGTTTAGCCTAGTAACATCAGAAAGCTCAGTGAGAACGTTGTGTCCCAAATTCCATAGCATTTTTCTAATCCACTATTAGACATTACAATGAGAACACATTAGCTAATTATAAATCATTACCTCCTCCTGCTCAGGTAGATAGTACTCAGAATCCCCTAGTGTCCCAGAACACTATAAATCATCTAAACATGAAGCTCTGATTATTCTGCAAAATCTTGGTTGTATTTACTTAGGGAAGGTTTGGGAAAGCATCTGGTATGACCTCGGTTACCATGGAACTCATTAACTCGAGTCACTGAGCTTCCCTAGCAAAGTATATAAACTATTTGCATGGCATTAACATCCACATAAAGCCAACTAATCTCCTGCCATTTCATCCTGGGACACACTGGGCTCGCTGTAAGAAAGATAAACTGGGATGGGTTTCTTTGCGTTTCTCCAAAATCTGTATGGGATGGCTGCTGTACCATTTCTATCTGCAAATAGTACCATGAGACTAATTGCCTAAGCAAAAAGCAAAGTGCGTATTGAAATCGCTAATAATAATAATAATAACAACATCTCCATTTTGAGATGAGGCTGTGAAGCACCATTGTATTTGAGATGAGGTACCCACCCTACCAGCTGTGTATGGAAATGAGATTCTGACACATGCCACCTTCATTCACGACTATTTTATCTCTTCTCTTGTCCTAACGTCTCTAATGTTAAACATAGTTTCTTTCATAATTTTTTCAGTACATCATCAGCTGTCAGTGTGCAGGTGGCAGTCAGCCTGGAACACACAGCTGCAGGGATGAAGAGAAGAACTCTGTGAGAGCAAGTGAACAGGAAGAAAGTCAGGCCACGAAGAAAGGACACAAAAAAGAGGACAGCAGTTGTGGAAAATGTGTTAGAATTGGGTTGGAGGTAAGTAGAATGGGGAAAGATAAGTAGTTTGCAACCAGAAATTATTTGCCTATAGGAACAAGCTTTTCATAACAATCTTGAATGTCTAATTTTCACATACCTGTCTGTAGCTTTCAGAGCTGCTATGCTTACCAAAGGACATTTGAGAGAAGAGTGGTCTAGAGTGAAACTGGGCTGTTGCTCATGATCTTAATTCTGGGTCCGAAACATCCTGCCTAGGTGAGCCAGGCCAGTTGCTTTCCTTTATTAAGTTTTGACATCTGTAAGAGAAGAATACAATCATGCTTCATGGGGATGCTTACAGCAATTGATAGGTAATATTTGTAGAGTGCTTTGAGGTTGAAGAGTGCTATAAAGATGGACTTTATACCCCATCTATCACTACTACACAAAACCATTTCTTTAAATGGAGAGATAAAGTAACAACTGCTATCTCAGAGATATCTAAACAGGGAACATTCCCAGCCACCTCACAGCCTGATCCCTACTACGCCAGTTCCTGAACTGGAATCGATTCCATCTTCTGGGCATGATTCTCATTAAGGAACATGCGACGTGTAGCAACCAATGCATGCACCTAGGAGTAAGCAGGAGTTACATATATACTGTTAAAGGCATGTGTTATGCTCCTGGGTCATGAATGTGATGCCCTGTTCTTTACCTGTGCCTTTGGCCTCCTTCAAGAGTTGTGGTTTGAATCTCTCATGTTATTCATTAGCATATGTGCAGTGATCTGCCATCGTCTTACATCTCGAGTACTTACATGAGGCTACAGCCAGTGGCACTGTTTTTTTCCAAATGCAAAGTCAACTGCTTTTAGTATTATCCCTAACTCGACTGAACATAGACCCAAAGAATACCAGAGTCTGACAGTGAGAAAAAAAAGAAAAAAAAAAAAATAGAGGCAGAGGAGGACCAAGGGAAAGTGACCTACTGGAATCAGAGGAAAAGGAAACATTAAGTGAAGAACAATCTTCCCTGGGCCTAAGAGATGGACCAGGTGACCTAGTATCTCTTTTCTGTCTCCATTTTGTACAGTTTTGTGAGCCTCAAAGCAGCAAAAAGAGAAAAGAGTGGCAGGACCCCCTGTGAGGTGAGGTGTCAAGGGGACGGGTGCAAGATCAGCCCCTCAGAGAACCAAGCTTCAGGGAGAAGCACAATAGCTCCCCAGGGACCTGCAGACCAGGGGTGCTGTACGGACTGGTGCTCTTGGCGGGCAGGAGCGAGGTCCCCGGGACGCCTGACACCCACCTGCTCCCAGTGGCCACGGGGGAGGCCCCGCTCCCTGCTCCGAGCGGGGGCAACACAGCATCTGACAGAGCTGCTCCCTGTCTGTTCCCAGCATAAGGCATGAAACAGGGACACTGTTGGATTTCCTTCCTTTAGAGGAGGTCGGGAAGGACCTAACATTCCCTTGCGTGGGATAAACTCGTCCCCGTCTTTCCTTACTTCGTGGCACTGTGGGCGGGCGAATGCGGGAGCCCCCCCTCAGGCGTTAGCGCTGCCGGAGGGTCGGGGAGGACTCGGGCGCAGGGCGGGCACC